ACAAGAGGTGGTTCTCCAGCAGGACAGCTCACCCAGGGCACAGGCACAGCCTTACAGGCACAGAGGGCAAGCTCATCAGACAAGCCCTGCTTTGCTCACACAAGCTATGCTATACAAGAGAATAAGCCTGTTTTTTTCCAAGCATTTCCTTTAAGAGCACAGTGTAAACTCACACAGGCTCTCTGATTCACTGCTTATCAGCATGAGCAGTGCCTCCACCCTGTCCAGGCCACTCAGTTTTCAGCCACAGCAAACACCAAAGTCAGAGAAATAGAAGCAAGTCACTGTCCTCCCACAAAGCACAGCCACACTTTCTGCAAGCACTAGTGACTAAGTGCCCATCACATGAGCTGTGTCCTAACAGCAGCCCCAGGGGTTGTTCCCTACTGTTCTGGAGACAGACACACCACTCTTGAGCAAGACCAAGATCATGAACTCTTTTCCCCATCACCTGCACAATTTTTCTTAGAGCCTTCCCTCCAGCACCCTGCAGGACCAGAACCAGCAGCTCACCAAGACACAGCCTCAGCCTCTCCTGCACCCCAGCAAGCCAGGGTGCCCACCAGCTAGATGATACCTACAGCAACAAACATCCCTCCCAAGGTCATCTAACCCACTTGCTGGTTCTGCTCAGCCTCACTCACTTGGAGAGAGCTGGTACAGCAACCATCAGCAAGACAAGACACTCAAACTGCTGCCAAGACTACCCTGAAGAGCCCAACAAAATTCCACACCACCATCTACATAACCTGATTGTGCTTCTGGCTTAAATACCACAAAATCAGGTGCACTGAGTTCAGGCAATCCCACCCAGTTGAGAGCAAGGCCATTTAAAGCCCACCTGGCCAAAGCACCCCCTTAGAGCCCTCCTTCAGCAATTGTTCCTTCAGTTCCTAGGAGTTATGAGTTGACTGTACTTCTGCTCAGTACCAGCAGGCAAAAAGACAAAAGCAGAATGTGACCTTTGCGAGGATGTAAAGCTGTTCATTGACCCTGGGTATGGGGGGTTTCCCAAAGCAGGGCTGCTCACAGCTGTGTTCGCTGCAGCTGATGCTAAGGGAAAAAAATCCAAGCTAGAGAGGAACAAAAAGCCCTTACGTTACCAAAGCCATCCATTAATGGTTTTATTTTACTTGGGCAGGATAAGTTTTGCTATAAAAGAGAGCCCAGAAACCAAATTACAAGCTTCTAGCTATGCTGCAGTAATAATGTTTCTTTCTTGTAGCCCGCGCTCCTTTGGCAGAACATCTCTCTTTGCAGATACAGGAGACTTGGGTCTACAATTCACAGGACCCTGATGGATGTGAAGTTGTGACAGAGCAGGGAACAGTGTGGGGCTGAGTGCTGCTTTTCTAACTCAGGACCAGTATAAAGTATCTTTCTGCTTTTCACTAGCTCTTTTGCAGTCTTGTATTTGTTCTTGTAAAGGAAAATTTGTCAGTTTGTGGGAACTGAAATGGAAGCTGTTGTTTTTTGACACGGAGCTGATATCCTGCCTCTTCTCCTTTGCTTATACAATAGTCCACAAAGATTTTCATCTTTATTGTGGCTTTCAAAACCGCCCAGCCCTGAGCAGCATCTAAAGGGTCAGACAGGCCCCAGCCATGCCTGGGCACCCCAGCAAGCAGCGGAACCCCCTTTTCCCAGCCAGGGGCCAAGAGGAAGCACTGGGTTCCCAATTCTGCCTCTTTCTCAAGCAACTGCAGGCCGATGTCCCCGTGAGTGCTGCGAGCTCCCCTGGAGAGGGCAGCCAAGCATTGCTGAGCGCGGGCACATGGCTGAGCTCCAGCAGCTGCTGGGAAACTTCCGAGCCACAAATAATGGCAGAGGGGAGATATGTGAAGCAAAGATTTGGAGAGCAGGCAATGTAACTGCTCTTCAAAACCATAACGAAATCACCGAATGGGGGCAACTGGCATCCAAGCAAGAGGAAAGGTTGGGTTTCTGCTTTGGAGAAGACAGGTTGATGGTGCTGGGATCGGGCTGTGGGAGGAGGTTGCAGTTGCTCTGTAGGGTGTCAGAGTGGGACCTGCGGTGGGGCAGGATGCATCCAGGGGCTAAGGAGAACCGTCTTTCCTTTGCAGCCAGCTCAGCGTGTGATCCCCACTACAGGTTGGTTGGTCTTTACCCAACCATAATGTAGCCAGTTCTTTTGGGATTTGGGGCAAACCTGCCTCTACCCATGGACACAGAGCCTCAAGTAACAGGCGATATTCTCTCTGGTGTCACCCGGCAGCTTCCCTGCTTTCCAGCAGCAGCAGCAGCACAACCTGCAAATAGCCAGCTACAGCTGCTCAGCTGAGGGGGAGAAGTGGTTTGCTGCAAGGAAGTACGGCCAAGAGCAGGTAGATCAGAGACCTCAGGCTCTTGCAGCCCAGGGTCCATCATGACCACAGGGGTATGATTGTGTAACTTAAGACCTTAAGCCATTTCCTTTCTCTTCCATTTGCAAAGAGAAAATCATCTTGCTCTTCTGGCATTAGCAGCTCTTGTACAGGGAAGTGGCTTGCCCGCTTTCTGGGGCACAGAGAGGTGGGATTCTTGCTGTTAATGGGGCTGGCAAACACACAGATGGCAGATTTCTGAGCTTGCCCTTAGACCTGCTCACAGCTAGCTATATCCAGATTTTTCCCTGTCTCCTCCTAGCTCTTTTCCTTCCCCTCCTCTTCCACTTCCCCAGAGGAATCAGGAAAAGACCCTGAATGTCTCTTGCCTCAAATACTGCAGGCACATGGTGGAATCGGGGGGACTGAGCAAATTATTTCAGTGAGTTGGAGGGTTAGGGTAGTTGTGAGATGTGGCACTAGCAGGCAGAAGCAGAACACAAGACCCAAAGAGGAAGTGGGGAGGGAAAGAAAACCTGACACACATTCACCAAAAGAATGCAAAAGAGAGCAAGAAACCAGAGGAAGGATTTGCACTGATGGATTTCCAGCCCAGGGGAATAAACCAGAATGGTATGAGAAACCCAGATGAAACCAGAAGTGATGTGAAAGGAGAGGGAAGCAGGCGCCGTCTGCAGCTGCACAACCTGCCCTGAGAGCTGGAGGGATGGGAAGCCCCCAAGCATCCTCAGCCTGCGACATGAGCGAGAGGAGGTGAGTGGTTTGTGTTTGCTAACCCCCAGGGAGATCCTGCAGCCAAGGATCCCTTTGCTCACAGTAAAACGCATCGTGCCTTTGAGCCCACAGCGCTGACATGCACGCACGCAGACTGGGGAGACTCCGCTGCGCAGGGTTTGTCACGGGGAGATTCCTGGTGTTACTCAGGATAAACTGCAATGCAATGTGTAGCAAAGGGTGGCAAAATTGTTTTTTAGGATGAACTCTTTCTTAACGAGAACATGAAAGGTAAGTGTTTAAATAGCAGACTGTGGACTAACCCTTTACAGCTGGTTTTAGGGAATATTAACGTTGGGTATGTCAGAGGTATTTCCAAATGTCTCGCAAACACAGGGATGGTACTGAGCTCTCAGGTTGAGCATTCTGCACGAGTTAGTGTTTATCATGACTCCGCGTGTGGGGGTTTTGGTGGAGTTAGAGAAGCTCTGTTTTGCCATGCTTTGTACCCGAACTGGCATTCGCAGTGCTGCTCTGCACCCCCACACCTGTGTGCTTTGAATGCCGTCACCCCGAGCAGTCACACATGGACAGAACTGGACTCTGAAAAGAAATAAAGCATTATAATCTTCAGCGTGGCATTTGTGCCAGGCAGTTCCTACATCAGGGAGGTAATTCCATTATTCAATATGGTCGGAGGGATAAACCGGGATGAACAGATATTTCCAAAATAATGGCAAAACTTCTGCAACTAAAACAAGAAATCGTATACAAACTAAAACATTTGTAAAGCAAAAGATATTTTTCTTTTTCAGCAAGTGAAACGTCCAAGCATTAATGTCAATTTGTGCATAAATAACTTCATATCAGATGATCACTTAAGATATTTTATCTTACTGTAAAGATCAAATCTCTCAGAAATTCTGGTGAGGAAACATTCAAGGCCAGAGCTTTCAGAGTGCTGCAGGCACGTCGCGCTGGCTGATTGCAGCAGAAAAATTTAATTTAACATTATCTAAGCAACCGGTAGGTTAACTTATTCATCTCAAGGATTCTGAGATATCTCTGTAAATGAAGAAACCATCCCAAGTGATATCAGAAACTGTGCTGCTGCGTGCAAGGCGGTGTAAGTCTGACGGCTGAAATCAATCGCAGCAATACAGTGAAAAGGAAAAGGACTTTTTCACTTGTAGATTTAATTTCCACCCAAGACAGAGGAGTTATTAGGCTGGAGTGAGTGGGCTCACAAGCAGATCTAATGAGGGGAAGGCTTCTCTGCTGCTTCTGGGCAGCCTTTGCAGTCAGTGAGGCTATATCAGATATATATTCCATGCCCAAATGTCTTATCTTCATTTTGTTCCTAATAGCTGGGCTGCTTCTTCATTCAGTGTGTTGCCTTCATTTGCTGCCTCCTGGGGCTCTGCTATTGTTATTGGCACTGTCTGGGGGTTTTTTCATTGCAAGAGATGAGGTTTCCATTGCTTTATTTTGGCAGAATATTCCCCACCCTGGGAGATCCTGCTGGCAGGAGACACTTTGCTGTGCTGAGAGGAGAACTAATCCTGCGCAGAGGGCCAGGAAATCCTCTCTTGGCTCCTGGGTCCCAGGGACCCAGTCCCTCTGTGCCACAGCCTCCTGGCTCTAAAGGAGTGTGAGAAGCCCCTTCACTCTTTCTTGCTGAGCTGAAATGTCAGCTCGGCGGGTAGGGGCTCTGGGCTTGTTGGGCTGGTTATGGTGGGGATGCAGAGCCGTGCCCAGGGCTGTAATTCCCAGGGAGGTGGAGATGCTGCCCCTCGGCAGGGGGTTGCCACTCTGGAACTGGGACTTGCCCCATAGAGGATGCTACAGATCAGCTCTCCCCCAGGATCCAGATACGGGGTGGCTTGTTTCCCAGGAGCTGAAGCATGCAGGAGGCAGTGGGCATGAACAAACGAACGGTTGAATCCAGAAGCCCATCTGGCAAGAGAAAAATGTCCCCTGGGCAAGAAAAAGAAGCCTTATGGCCAAAAAAAGAGGAACAGGCAGAACAAGGAGAGGGGCTCTTGGCACTGCCCATGTTTTCATGCTTTGGAGCCTCTGCAGAAGAGACCTTGTGCTGGAGCAAAGCCTTGTGCTTTCCCTCACAGACACGGGAGCTAGAAGGAGGATTTGGAGGAGCTCAGCCAAAACTGCAAAGAGATTCGTCCTTGTCATTCAGCCTGGGACACAACAGATGTGGGAAGAGAAGGTCTGGGCTGGCAGGCTGATTGCTACGAGCCCAGCACAGTATTTTGAACCTGAGGGCTTATCTGAATTATGTCAGCTCAATGGAGAGAGCTGTACCAGAACAGTCAGTGCAGGGGTTATTTTGCCATTATAACCAAATCCTGTCCACAAGCAACGTAACATGAGGGATAGGATTTTGCTGGCCTTCAAGTCTCTTGCCTAATGTTCAGTACGGTTTCCAAGCTCCTAAGTATATTGGACATTGAACAACTGCAGATACTGAGAATTTAAGATGGTCCTGGCAATGCTGGCTGCAAGTAATAGATGTCAAAATGATGCTGGCCTCTGCTTAATGAAGAGATGCCTTGGTTGGGATGCTGGAGTTTTGGCTGGGGAGTTTTGGATACTCGAGGAGGCAGTTGCTGCCCTGGTGGCCCCTGGTGAGCCCTGAGATATGTCAAAGTCCATCTGCCCGCTAAATCCTCTCTCTCTGGAGGGAAAGATGCTGTCAGGTTTAATAACAGCAGTTAGTAATTACTGCTGCCCTTGTAGTGTTTATGTGAAGAGCTGCAGGAAACAAGAGTGCTGAGATTAGAGTGCAACACCTCCGGTCCTGCCTGATTACCCCATGCCAGAGCCTGGTGTAAGAGGGAAGAGTCTTGCTGCAATGCTGCAAGACATTTCAGCCCAAAGTCCAGGACTCCTCCGGTCTGATATGCCAAGAAATGCAAATCAGGGTTGAACTGCTCTGGCTGTAATGTGCACCTGCAACCACCGATGTTCAAGCCTCGACAGGCAGGCAGGAGCGAAGTGCTGCGGCTCAGGCTCTTCTCCACGAGCTCCTGGACAGCATCTGAAATGCTCTGGGGTATTTTGCAACTACTGCAAAACACAGAAACAGCGATGGGTGCCCAGGGGACGGGTGAATCAGCAGGGAAGGAAATAACAAAGACAGGTATTAAGTACCTGTCACTGCTAAGATGTTGCGGACCGAGGTTTCTAGCCTGTTGGTCGCTGCTGGCTATTGTCACCTCTAAAGACAGCCGTTGCCTTTGCTGAATTTCAAAAAGCAGACAGAAAAACTGCAGATGGTCAGCTACAGGTGCCTGGAGCCCAGCAGCGCAACAGCCCGGCCCCTGCACCGCCCAGGCGCTGGCTCCGCTCCCCGGGTAGCTGTAATCATCACACATCCCATCTGCTGCGGCTTGCGCATTTTGGACATTTCCGCTTTCGCAAGAGAGCTGAGGGCAGGGAGAGATGGTGGCTTGTTTGTTCTGAGGGAAAGGCAATGTTGCCAGCTCTGTGCTTTCCTCCAGCAGCGGGATGTCGTGGTCCCATTGCCTGGATGTGGGGTCCTGGATACTCGAAGCCAGGTGGATGCTTTTGGGAAGAGGGGTCCTGTCCCATGGGCTTTTGCAGCAGGGTGGTACAACCTGCCGGAGCATGGCACTGGGGACACAGCATCCCTCTGCTAATACGGCAGCTTTTGTGTATCCGACAACCGCCTCTTCATCTGCTCTCTGTAACCCAGTCCAGGATGACCTTGTTCCCCCTGTTACATGAGGGAACACAAGGCAGCTGAGCCCTCAATGAAAGTGCTTTTGGTTTAAAGCACGAATATAATCAAGAGGAAGAATGGGAGAAAAATAAGATCTGAAGGACAAGCTCATCAGTGTAATGAAGAAGAAGGGATTTAATTGCATTAAGTTGCAGAAGTGTAGAGAAAAACACGACTTCGCTGCCACAGAGTGTGCCGAGCAGCTCAACATCTGCCTAGGGGAAAATAAGTCATTTCCCTCCATCACATCTCTGCTGCAGCTAAAAATATTGATAACATTAACCTAATCGTGGGCATGGACAGGGCTTCTTAGGTTCAGGTGGCCTAACTCCTGCATGTCCCCATTTTTATGTCCAGCCTGCACTCTGATATTGATGTTAAACAATAACTTTTAATCACTTTGACCATGGGACAGACTGACTCACGACACAGGGATTATGGGGGGGGGAAGGGGGGGGGGAATGCAACTTTAATGAGGCTGAGCTTTATAAAACTGCAATGGGCAAGCTTAATTATAAAAGCAGTTTTGTCATTTTATGTGCTCAAACAGCCCTGGTGAAGAGTAAACGCTTCAAAGTGCACTTTGTGTTCCCAGATGAGCCGCACCGAGTACCTGGCAGTACAATATCCCTCGTCCTTCTCCATCCCAGCCATCTCCTGGGGTAGCTTCACTCGGACAGGCCACAGTCTCCGGCCACAGGACAGTGTCACCATGAGCTGTCCCTTCCACCGCTGCTGGCCCTGAGCAGTGAATCCTGGAGGACTGGTAAGAGCTGGCCCAGGATTTGTACAATTCTCAGCGTTGCTGGTTCCCTCTTGTGGTCAGGAAACATCCCGAGAAACAGATGAGGTTTAGTACCTCATGGGCTGCGATAGACAGGTCTCAGCCACATCACTGGTGGGACTAGGCTTGGACCTCCGCTGGGAAAGGGTGGAAGCTGGCTCCAGCATTTGGGCTGTAGACCTGAAAGTAGGTGTCCCTGGGCTTTTTTCCTTTTGCTTACCTCCCTCTAAAGGGAGAGATGTGTTTGAGTGGCTTGAATTTATTGCTCATTGTGCTCCTGTAAGTCCTCTTCACCTCTGTCTTTTTCAGAGCATCCGAAGAAGTGCAGAAGGAAGCAGAAAGGCTCTCTGCAAGCTCCTAGCTCCAGGTAATTACAATGGATATCTGTAAGATACATGAAAACGCCTCCAAATGCAGTGTGAATGCTATGGAGTGCTTCATGGTCCTCAGCACTCAAGCGCAGAAGGTAAGCATTGCCACGCTGTGCGGCCTCTTTGGGACACTGTGCATTTTCGAGAACTCTTTGGTGCTGTACTTGATCTTCTCCTCCCCCCGGACCAGGAGAAAGCCCTCCTACCTCTTTATCAGCAGCCTGGCCTTGGCTGACATTCTGGCCAGCATCATCTTTGTCTGCAGTTTTGTTAACTTCCATGTCTTTAATAAAACTGATTTCTCTAAAGAAACGTTCCTGCTGCAGCTGGGAGGGGTGAACACATCCTTCTCTGCCTCCGTGAGCAGTTTGCTGCTGACAGCCCTGGACCGTTACATCTCCATCAGCCGGCCCTCTGAATACAAGCTCCTCATGACAAGGAAGAGAGCGTGGATAGCCCTGGGGGTACTTTGGGTGACATGTGCAACCATTGCTTCCCTGCCTCTCCTGGGCTGGAACTGCTGCACGCTCAATTCGACCTGCTCCGAGCTGTTCCCATTTGTGGACCACAAATATCTGTCGAGCTGGATCTGCTTCATCGTGGCCCTGTTGGGGTGTATTGTCTACGCCTACGCGCATGTGCTATGGAGGGCTCACCAGCACGTGGCCTACATGGAGAAGAACCAAGTGCAGGTGGGAAAACAAAATGCCAGGATGAGGATGGACGTCATGCTGGCCAAGACCCTTGTCATGGTGCTGACTGTCCTCGTGCTGTGCTGGTCTCCAGTCCTCATTCTCATGATCTACAGCATCTTTGCCAGGCTGAGCAATCACCTGCGCAAGGTGTTTGCCTTCTGCAGCACCCTCTGCCTGCTCAATTCCATGGTGAACCCCATTATTTATGCCCTGAGGAGCAAGGAGCTATATTCCTCCCTAAGGATGATCTTTTCTCGGTTCAGGAGGCAGCTGAAGGCCTCTGAGGAAAGCCCAGAAGCAGAGAGCACCCACAAGTCCTCCATAGTAGAGACTGTCTGTGAGGACATGCGCGTAACGTAGGGAGGCAGCCATGGAAAGTCTGTGCTCAGGCTGGCAGAAACATCCTGGATCACTTTTTCTTTTTTCTTATGGGGGTCCTGGGAGATGAGGGATCAGATGCCTGTCATGGTGCCAGCTCCCACTGATGTTATTCTTAGACGCTGGGACATCAAGTCCATGGACTTACACAGGCAGCCGGTGCCCAAGCTGCAGAAATACCAGTGCCAGGTCAGTGTGCCAGCCATGAGGCAGCCATGCCCCAGCACAGCAGATCCTAATATTTTATGACAACTCCTGCCTGGCCTCCTGCCTGTCCACCAGTAACCTCCTAACCCATTTTTCTTACATTCAATGGTGTCTTCTTCCTTACACTCAATAAAATATAGCTAACCTCAAGTAAAACGTTCCACAGACCTTCAGGTTCTCTAGAAATCCCCAGATATCACACAACTCTCTCTAAACCCCTTAACTGTGCAGGGGCAGGGTTGTTGGGCACCATCAACAAAACGTTAATAGCCCATCGCTACGTAGCAGAGGTGCATCTACTTATACCAGACTTCAATGCTGTCCCGGGGTGTTGTGTATTAGCAACACGGTGACAAAAGATCTTCAGGTCCTGGAAAAGGCGGCAGAGAACAACGCCGAGTCGTGACGAGCTCCCACCGGCTGCCTCGCTGCATCGCGCGGGAGCAGGACTGGCAGCAGCAGAAGGTACCTCAGCCCTTGCTGGGAAAGGTGCAGGTGGCTTCTCTTGACTCGTTTGCAGACGGTCCCGGCTAATCATGTCTCACCGCATTTAGGATCGGGTTGATTTTAGCGTCTAATTCTTTATGGAAAACTGAAATGCTCTCACTGTGGCTTATGGGCTCTGGCATAGTTGAGGATTTCAAGGCAGACAGGACTCTGCAGGCAGCATGTTTCTTTCAGCAAATTTAAGAAAATCTGACATGTGCCACGAAGGCATTTGTTGGATGTTATGTGATTAAACATTAAAGCCATTTTCCAGCCTTTTCCTCCATTAACCTCTGGGGCACAAACTTCTCCAGGGGACAGGTTTAAGCCCACGCTGGGGCAGATACTCTGAGCACAAGGAACTCGACAAATTTTTTTTTTTTTTGCAAACTACACAAAAGCGGCACCTTTAGCTGCAAAACCTTTGCAGGAGAGCAAAGAGGCAGGGGGCCCTTCGCCAGGGCCCCGGCGAGCAGCAGGGCTCCTGCTGGCTCCCGAAACACCTCCGACAGGGACAAGCCTGGCTGGGCGCACGGCCCCGAGGCCCTTGGACTCTGCCCTGTTTCCCCAGAGGAGGCACCTGGCCCTCAAGTGTGGGTTTTGGAGCCAGGCCCTGGGCCTGCTCTGGCTGCATGGGAGGGCCAGGGGGAGAGGGGTCCCATGGAGGCTGAGCTGCCACAGAGCCAACCCCCCGGGCTCTCTCCTGGCTCCTCATGGGACACACACAGAGGCTCAAGCCGCAGGAGGGGGCACGCAGGCGGCTACAGTGGGG